AAAAAAAAAAGTCCTTTAAAAACTATCTTTTTATACTAGTTTTCCAAGGGTAAATGATTATGGATATGAACCTAAATTATATTGGATTATTCATCCAGGACGTCATGGCAACAAGGATTGATAAAGAGATAACCAATAGCGGATTTGACGAGTGTTGGAGTTGCTTCTATTTGTTCTTGATATTGGGTTATGTCTTCTTAAATCCATGCTAGCCTGGTCTTGATGATTGTGGTCTTTGTGGAATATTTAGGGGGTAATTTGAAGTTCATATTCATACTATTTACGGAGATTCTTTTTATGCGATGATCAGTTTATACTGATCTATAACATCCACATAACATCGGATGTTTGACAAGAACTGTCAAGCCTTATTAAATCACAGCATTTCCAGGACAGAACTATCTTTCTATTTTACATTAAAGAGAAGATTGGGTATAGGGTGTCTTCCCGACATCTCGCGATCTGATCTAGATGTATTCTTTGAATAAGCCTGATGTTATGCGCAGAGGATATATAAATATGATCTGCTCAAAAAAAATGCATAACTTTATAAAAATAAAATCAGACACAAAAACTAATGACTTTATTGATAAGAAAATGCCATCTTTTTATACTAGATTATATCTATTGTAATATTATTTGTCATCATGGTTAAACATTGAACTTGGTATGTAATACCAAGTTTATTACATGTTCTACTGTACATTAATAGCTTATTCCTTGTCCTTGTATACAAAGAATTACCAATCTAATAATTGCTTAATCTCATGCCTTTCTGGCACAACACCTGAAACCTTGCAAGAGGTCCAATTACAACTTGTAGTAGCTTATTCCTTATTTGTAAAGGAATTACCAACAATTAATATCATGATCCGTGCATTATGACTAAGTTAGATATGACATATGTAGCCTTTATATGGATACAACCATAAGTGAGCAGCAAACCTCTCATATTATCGTATATGTTCAGATACTGGACACAAAAATAAACCTGTACCATGCCTAAATAGTAGAAGAGATCTAGCTTTAGTGTATTATTAATAAAGCAAAAGAAGCAAGCCAAAAAGTATTGAATACTACCTTGACATTTACACCCAAACGACTTCATGCAAAAAAGTGATTCATACAAAGTATCTGATCTGCCATAATTATAGATAGGAGATCATGGCAATGTACTTCAATTGAAGATTGAAGATTGTCCAATGATGTGATGTGATACGCTTGTGTAAATTGGAGAATAAAGTCTCTGTTTCAAATCAAGAAGGTTATTCCTGTAAGTAACACAGATCTGAGCACCAGGATAAAGGTTAAGGCTCTGTCAGATCAAAGACGTGTAGCCCTTGCTATATAACCTCATATCGTACCCTGTCAAGTAGATTGTCACTGTGAATTAGTCTTGTCAATTAGTAATCTAAATAAGTCACCATAAATTTATGTAGTTGTAAAAAGTATAAATAGCAGATGCAATTTCGATCTTAAATAAAGTACCTTTAGTTTTCGTAGTACCTCGTTAACCTTTGGTTTTTTTATTATCTTTTTGATCCAACAGTATCATCTTTAGCTATTGCCTATATTCAGCAGTAAATTAGTCAGTTATTTAGTTGCTACAAACAATTTAATGCACATAGCAATTGTTGTATCCATAGAATACCATGGTTACCACTATTACAACTCAGTTGTCATGGCAACCGTTCCTAATCGGATCTAAGGTTAAATGGCATCGATTATTCTATCTAGTAAATAGAAGTGTTCAATAGAATGTCTTGTATAAGAAACCATCTATTTGGGTTCTACTTATTCTAAATTGCGAAGCTCAACTTATCGATGAATGATTCACATTCATAACGATTAGCTGATTAAATATAGAAATAGGTCTTGCTCTGACTACTACTGTGTTATAATCTTGTTTGACAATTAAATGTCAAACATGACCTGATTGTATTTTATAGATTGATTTAGATAGATTTATTCTAATATAAACAGACAGCTTCTTGTCAATCAATAAATCAATAGTTTTGTATCTGGTAAACTAAGTCTTTATTACATTCTTATATTTTTATATCACATACAATCACCTGCTGTGCTCATTTTCAAGACCTGGCACAACAGCAATACCATGCTCTCGTATGAGAAAGATTAAACTGAGTAGAGCCTCTATATATTATTGACAAAAGAATTAATAGTTTGTTGGGATAAACTCGAATACATACCATGATGACAGCAATACACAAAAGATGTTGGGAATGACTTCTTTACACTAAGCTATACTGCAAGCTATTCCTTGATGAAAGAGAAGAAGCTACAATTTTTTATGATAAAACTGCAGATACGTGAAGATGTTATTACTCTGTATAATGTACTTATTATATTTGGCACAAATGTGCTAATATTGTGTGTTTTTTAAGTTAAAATATCAGTTTATAAAGTTGTAAAATTAGTGAAAACAAAAGAAAAAGACCAAGGAGAAGCTAACAACAAAGAAGCTAAAATATGCATTCGGTCATCACAATATATGCAATGTTTTGGGCTAACCATGCAGGAAGAAGCCAATGGAAAAACACCGTTACAAGAGGTCACCTCAACAATTGAAAGCAACCATGTACAAAACAAAATATATACTTTATTCAAGAATATTGCTACTGGTGCTAGCATTATTACCACCAGTGTCTTCTTCAACATCTTGAACAACACTTTGGTTAGAAATAGGTATTTCTTCGTCACTTTTTGCTTTCAGATGAACATTTGTATAATCGTGCGAGCATAAATAAACTTTTACTCAAAACAGATGCAATCTTTGGAATGCAATATCTTAACAAATATTTGGTAACAAATGTTACTACAGCACAAAAAAAACCCGAAATGTTTCAGAAATAATTGATGTATATTTCAGATATTTCAATACAATAAAAAAATACTTGTAATAATTCACAGCTTTCAACTGTATCCGAACAATAAAAGAAGTATATCGTTTATTATGATATAAATACAGGGTATTTATATCTGTTTTAATATACGAAATAGATATACAATTAAAATTGGATATATTTATTCGTATATAAAAAATAAGATGATTCTTCTCTACACAACATTTGCCTAGACTATTTATACTTTTCGAGTGCTGACATCGGTTGCATGCTTGTGGAATCGAGGCTTAATAAACTTGCAACAGATAGAACCAATTACTAGCCATGTGCTGCTAGTACAAGTAATAATCGTAAACCAGTTATTATCAGAAGGAGACATGAAGGATTGTGGTCTTGAGAAAGAGTATAATCGCCTTGTGGTATAAAGGATTTCTAATGAGTGTAACCATGGTATAATACTTTTGCATAATTGTGAGAATACCCAAGTTGGATCTCAGGCACAACATCAACTCAACAACCCACCTCGTTTAGCCTTTACATCCTAAACAATATCTTCAATTATTTACTACAACTGAGATGGTAGCTGTAATAACCAATAGATTAATGTGATAGTATGTTGTCACTGTTGATGAACGAATAGAAAATACACCGTGTTATTGTCAATTGGTTTGATATGTTTCATTGTTGAGATTGATCCAAGAATATGAGCGCTGATGTAACATTTCAAATAGTTTGTTCGCACCTTGACATTTGAGAGCAAGTCCGCATATCTTGTTAATGTCATGGCAGCCGAGACATTATTGCGATATCCAATGATCGTTGAGAAATTATACTGATTCGTATCTGATACAATCATATAATATATTTGCAGTAAATCAGCAAGCGTAGTACTTGTAGGAATTGATATAGTACAGATGTAGCAGTGCGTATACATCAGAAATAATATTATATAATTAAAAATGAGCTATCTCAACTTTTTTTTTATAAACGCACATTCTGGGGCAAAATCATTTATGTCCTCACAAGCACATAAATGCTCCCATGACCCTAATAATATTCCCATTTGAGCACATTTATGTTCACCGAGAGCATCCAGGAGGCCATAGTGTGGAACTCTGACGAGATCCCGCAGGACGAGTTGCCATTTCAGCATAAGTGGTCTTGCTATTAATTTCGTTGTTGTTGATTTTTAAAGACATTGTTATTAATTTGTTAAAATGTAAAGTGTAAAAATTTTAAGATGATTTAAAGAAGTGTTATGTCAAAAGTCTGATAAAATAATTCTGTCAAAGAATTATTACACTTGTATTCACAATACATCGAGAGATGTATTATATACACATTCATTACACTAGGATTCTACTGTCTAGCTGCATAATGTAAATCATGACTACCCATGATTTACTGTAAGACCCTGGGACTGGTCTGAGACCTTGCCATGTTATTGATATAACAATGATCTTCTCCTATCTATAATAATTATGGCAGATCAAAATCTAAGCAAGAAATGCCTGAAAACGGCCAAGAAATTCTCTTTTCCTTGTTATTTATTAATGATTAAAGTAATAATAAACGCGAATTTAATTGTGCAATTAAAATACATCAATCATTTCCTGGTCCAGGAAATGAACAGAGCATTCTAATTTCTTGGCGTGCCACAAAACAAAGTTAAATGGATACATAGATGTTTCAAAACAACAAACAGTATGAAAAGCTTCAATGGCCGAGTGGTCTAAGGCGATACGGTTAGGTCGTATTCTCGAAAGAGGCGCGAGTTCAAATCTCGTTTGGGGCAACATTTTTTACTTTTGAAAGTGGTGTATGGAGTGTAACTTTTTTTGGCTCATTAAAGCTAGGCGGCCTTTGTTGTGTCGTGATAATTGTAACTTCAGTAAGGCAAATATATGTATCAGTTAAGAGATGATTCAACTTGACATATGATCTACTATTTACATTGTTTTGAATTTGAGTGTCAAAACTAATGTACGACAGTTGACTATCTTCAGAAGACTCTTTTGACCATACTATGAATGCCTAAAGACTTCGGAGATGTCAGGTTTGTACTGGCTTTGTATGTAACCTTTTAGTCAATATAAATATATTCAAAGTACAAAAAAATAAATGGGAACCTTTTATCTCTGAAAATATCTTATACTTATATCATATAATAACCTCATCTCTGCTCGCGACAGATGTCTGAATTTCTTTCGTTAGGGTTTATTTTATGAGCCAAAATAAAGAATGTTTCATTTAACACTGGATGCCAGAGAAACTACGTAATTAAATTTCCTTTTAGCAAAATTCATTTGTCGTCCCTTTATGAACGTTAGGAGGCCAATAAATTTTAGGTTGCTCAGTAAAATAGTTTCATAACAATACAAACAAATGTGCACTTTGATTTTAAGTGAGTTGTAAGGTTCTATCATTATACACAGAATGTGCCGATTTCTCTACTTCTTATCATTCTCAAACAGAGTTTAATTGAAATTCGTTCATTATGCAAAGCTATTTCATATCGTTTAATTCTTTACTTCTTTATTTCTAACGACTTCTGCAATCATTTTTTTCAAATCGTATGCACACATTTCGGAAAAAAAAAAGGCACATGCTAAATTTCAAATGGCACAAAAGATTTGGCACAACTAGTGTGCATAAGACTTGGCAAAAAGGTATATAAATTATTTCTTGAATAGTTATTTTGGCCGAATATCAAGTTTTTTCAGAGCATGGTCTCCCCGTTCAAGCTTATTAAAAAGTTTGGCTATACAGGACAAGTTTTTATGTGGAACTTCCGGCTTTAAGGATCAGGGACAAGCTTCATTTCGTGAATAAAGCACAATAAACACGATTGCATGAATTCATTGCCAAATGAGAATATCAATAGTAAAAAAAACCATAATCCCGCCAAACAAAATGTATACACTTGCATATTCAATTCAGCTACTTTAAAGCTTGAATTGACGCATCAAGTTTTTTGCAAACTTGGATCGTTGCCGTAGTTTTTTCTTCTTTTCTTTCTTTTCGTATCAACACCATGTTACGACTTCTTGGAAAGTATTATGAAGATAAAGATACCACACTTTTTACCGAATTTCTAATTCATCTTCTGGACGTATTTATATGAATCAGCATTATGTACTAATGCCTTGATGTACGACTGCATGTGATGTAAATCACGCACATTGGCCGTCGCCGCTCGATCTGGCTACAAGCCCTATAGCATGTTATTGATATGATAATTACCTCTTACCTTGCCCAACAACATTAAAGAATGGAAACAAACAGCTAAATATGTTGAGAAGTTGAAGCTCCTAGAGTAAGTGATTTATATTGCCCTTTTCGTAGGGTAAATATATCTGAAAGCGCTCATTTTATAGTTTACTGTATTACAACATTCTTGACTTTACAAGTATGAAAGAAGACGATGGCTCTCGTCTAGTTCTTGGTTCTTATTTCGAAATTAGTTATTCGCCAATCTAAAAAAAATTCACGATTAGCGCGAGACATGTTGATCAGAAATGTAAGCATATAGAGCGGTTGTAATTACTTTATTTACTTAAATGATAATAGGGCTTAAATCTGACGACATGGATTTAAATTCGAGATTAGAACCAACAAAAAGGTATATGAACTTGTACTCTGATATTTATTTGTTGTTTTTTAGTTGTGCCAGAATGGCTTGAAATTAAGCAATTGCATAATATTGGCAACTCTTTGTATACAATGACAAGGAATAAACTATCGACAATGTATAACAAGTAACTTGATTTTACATACCAAGTTCAATGTTCAGCCATGATAACAAATAGTGTTACAATAGAAATAGTTTAGTAAAAATGATGGAATTTCCTTATCAATAAAGTCATTAGTTTCTGTGTCTTATATTTGTGTAATTATACAATTTCTTGAGCAGATTGTATTCTTATGTCCTCTGTGCATAACGTCTTATCAGTAATGCATCAGCACCAGCAGGGTAAAGTGCGTAAAAGTTGTTTGTTATGAGTTAGTTTATGGCTACAAAGTCAATTGACTTTCAGATCAATGTTGGCAAAAAAAAAAAAAAAAAAAAAACTGCTTAACGGCAATCAAGGACAATAGTAAAATAAATATCCCAATCTAAAACTGTTGTTAAAGAGTATATGGTTTTTTACTCCCTGATTTGCGATTCTCTTAAAAAGAGATTTACAAAAGGCAAGATTATATACCATTCATGGAAAGATAGGGTCGAGTAAAAAAACTCATTTAGATTGTCTTATTGCGAAAATAATCAAATATTGAAAAAAAGAAAATACTAATAAAAGCTGACAATTTTCCGGACATAAATTTGGATATTTTATTAATTGACTGAAAAGTTGCTTATAAACTATGTTAACTAAATCTACACGAATCTATGAAAATAATCAGATCATGCTTTAAAGCTTCGAAAAACTCAAATTGTACAAGAGAAAATTGAAGAAATTCAAAGGAAAGCGTCAAAGATTAGATAATTGACAGCAAAAATTTCAATGGCACGCCTTAAAAGGGCTTATGGCGATAGAGTATCACTCTAACAATGTTTATCTTTTTAGCGCTTAACAAGGGCTTTCGAATTTAAGTCCAAAATATTCATCTTTAAGAAGGCCAGTATTTTACACAGAAACATATATGGTAAGCGTTGATAACGAGTTATCAACAACAAAAACCTCAATAGCAATGCTTGTAAAGCAAGGAAAGGTTAGTGTCTTCTGATGTGGAGGTAGTCATTCACAGCCATTTACCGTTTTTAACAATTAAAATGAAGGACTTCAACTCTTACATGCGACATTTTGTACTTCAATCATGCGGCGCTATTTTTCTTTTGAGGGCGATATCTTTTTAAAGCGATATCATTTTGGTAAAGACGGTACACAATGGAAACAATGAACTAGCTTTCATTATTGGGAGTTTTCTTTTTTGAATAGATTGATGTTTACAAACATGGTTGCAAAAGAGTATAGGGGGATGTATAATTATAATATAGTACAGTTGTAACAAAAAAGGGTCAGTGATCTAGTGAACATGGTCATCGAGGAGTCCCCCTAAAGCTCTAAAACGGCCAAATACCATTTCACCAAGGAAGACACCAACAACAATAACAACAAAGAAACCACCGTTTCCAGTCATGACAACCATCATTAGTAAATAACTGACAAACGAACTGAAAGCAGTTAAGAAACTTCTAACGGTATCAGTTGACCAAGAGAAAGGCGGGACTATGGGTAATCTGAGTGAAATAGGGTATGCGTTTGGGTTGAATGATTGTGAAGACGAATCGTCTGTCGAGTTTGCTGATTTCTCGACATCGGTTTTAACAGTCTACAAGCAAAACTGTTAACAAGGGAAATGATGGTGATTGATTATACTTACATTGGGTTGAAGAGCTACCAACTGATTTCCAGCAATTCTATTGTCCCGAAGTCTTTTCCAGGCAATGAAATAAGCTTCGAGAGCTGGGAGTCCTCTCGAGAGAGTGGCAAAGAACAGCAATCCAAAGCATGCGCCAATATAAGCACCTTCAGATTTAGGAACCCATGCATCAAACCAAATACCATCACCAGAAGAGCTCCAATGAAAAGTGCCCATTGCCATAGACATGCTCATATCGCTCATATCCATACCAGACATGTCATGAGTCGTTGCTGCTGCTTCTGTTGCTGTAGTTGATGCCGTGGAGGTTGCAATAGACATAATTGATGAGCTAGCACTAGCGCTCATATTTGCCATATTATGCATAGAATGATCCATTTTTTTTTTTTCACAAATTTAAAATATGTATTGTAAAGAGAAAAAAGAATCGAGTTTCCTCAAGATATGCACATTTGTATTTATAGACATTCCCCTTTCTCTTGACAGCTGGAGAGCGATAATCGCGCACTAGACGATGTCATCAGCACTTTTGAAGATCTCGTTGTTACAAACGGAGTTCCGTTGGCAAAGCACACCAAAGATGAAATATTTAGTAGAAGGAAGCATAGTTAAACTTCATATTGATGCCAACTTAGACGTCAATTCTACCGTATTTTTTTTATTTTTTTATTGCATATTTCAGCTGTAATAAACATTCAAATCTTAAAGTGTAAACATTTTCTTCAAGGTTTCATTTCAACAAAAAAAAAAAATACGGAAATTATGAGCCGATAATACATTTTGTTTTTTCCCAGCAAATTCTATTACCAATATTTGGTTGTACACATACAATTCTAGGCAAAAACAAAATAACTCTTACATTCCTGTTGCTAGTGTTTCCATTGTGGCCAAGAATGAAACTAGTGAAATTTATTGCAAAAAAGTGAGTAGTACTTTTACTAGATGTATATGCTGTGTAAGACTCCACAATAATGTACATTTTACCTTGCATCTGAGTTTTTCGTAGCAGCGAAAAGCTCTCGATTTAAGCCAATCATCAGTTTTTCCAGCTTTCGAATGCAGCCTATTATCAAGGTACTCAGATCTTGCGTTTCACTGTCTTTAAAAGCCCATGTTGTACCATACATAAGTGACGAATATACTACAGAATATATTATTAACATGCAGTGTCAAGTGTATGAATCAACGCACATTGGTCTCCTATTATGAATTCAAATTTAGGTGTACATTCAGTTCTCTAGCCAGTCATGATCAATCATTCTTATTGAGAATCAAAGCGTCGACTTCATCAAAATACATCTTTTGGATAGTTAAAGCTGTGAAACCGAAGTACTGCACAGCTCCAAAGTCGTCTCCAATTTTGGCCAACAAGAGCCTGTTTTCTCTTTATTTGTGCTTTTGTTAGGTCTT